AAATCGCGCGACGTAGGAGACGGTCACAAGCTTATGTACCTAGGAGATCGAAAGCAGGAACAGAGGCAGTGCAGAACAGAGGTCTCGAAAGTGTTAAGGAATAGAACAAGTTACTACATCGACCGAATAAGTGCAGAGAAACGTTCATCACCAGCAATCATCTACTACTGAAACGCACTAAACCGGAGGGCAAAACTCAACAAGAAAGCCGGTGGCGAAACGATGGGCAACCTGTGATCAAGAAGAAAAGGAAGAGACAGCTTGCATGTGTCAGAAGGCAAAGTCAGAAGAGGCCCAGCCGAGATCTCAAGACAAAACGGGCACCCTAAAAAACGATGGGAAGGCTGATGAGCAGCATTGGCTTAATACAGTGACGACAGTACGTGAAGCGTGGTGTTGAGGACGAAAAAGATGAGTGTGTGGTTAATTTAGGGGCAACCGCCCAGGAAAGAGAGTGAATGTCGCTGTAGTAGTACTTCCTCGCGTTCTCGATGTGGCCCATTTATACCTTAGCATTATCAGAGCTCATCAACTCCAAGAACATGGGAATCGCTGTTCTCATAACGCACAATAACAAGGATGATAACCCAGGCAAAGAGCGGCGATGACATTCCAGGACAAAGAGCTTGCAGAGCGCAGCTCTTATAGTCGCTTCGGCAAATTACCCCGTAACGAGAAATGATAAACATACCAGTGCAACGAATGATTAGTGATTAACACGATTATCGTCAACAAGAATCATCCGGACATTACGTACGTGATGTTCTATTTTTGGTTCATAACCAAAACTGACTGGTCTTCTTCTACTTCACTGACATATGGTTAATGAAAGACCACCCAAAAGTGGGTGTTCTTCACGTTCAGTAAAAGGCAAATCGTTCTTGGTGAAAACGAAATTTCTGTTTTTCAGATCCTGACAAACTAAATGATCCCGAAGCAATTGTCAATAGATATGATCTTAGAGATCGCAAACGTCACACTCTTAATTCAAAACCAACAGATTTAAACACCGCACAAAAGGACTCCAAATCTACCGTATCCGCAGATTACACTACCGCCAAAGACCTGTTAAGCCCACCGACAAAGATTGCGAAAAAAGGACAGAATTCGGAATCACCTCGAACGGCAAGAGCGCAGTCTGAAGGAGCTAAAAATAGGAAGTCAGATGAAACCTCTGAACAAACCGAGTTTAGTCTGAGCAGCATGTTCCCGTCAATATTTGGCAATAGCACGCCAGCTACGCTGCTCTCGGGACCGGCTAGAAACACTCGCTCGGCTTCTCAATTGTCGCAATCATTTCGAGTTCCAGAGATTCCCCAAAAGCCGACAAATCCAAGAAAAGATGTTATCAAATTTCGTTCTGACTACGCAAACAAGTTTGCTATTGGCAGTAAGCATACAGTGAATTTCTTTAGTGGATCATATGAAGATGTGAGTTCGCTCTAACTCCAAGATCATGCGTTGCGTTCATTACCTTTTCAGGCACAACGGAAAGCAAGAAATGATGTTAAACTGCTCGTTATCTTTATCCATGACCCAAACGATGC